AACGTTTCGGGAAGCCAAAAGAGTTTTTGGTCACAACACTGCTTAAAATAAATGAATTTTTGTTCTCATGTAGAATGGTGTGCGTGATTTGTAACACAAAAAGCAAAAGCTTGCATTACATTCTCAGTTGTGAGCTTGTTTTGTTACACACTGTATATATTTGATCATTATAGAATAACATACACTCTTGGACTTAATACCCTGGCACAGACAGCATTCATATTCCAATTTTTTACAAAAATATAATTACATTACCCAAAATTTTGTATGACTTCCTTCCCTCTATTATTAATTGTTCAGGGTCCTCATGCATGTAAATATATGAACAAATAAATATATTGTTGTGGAATTTGTTGAGCTTCTACTTTGGTGAAGCCTTGGTATAAATTGCTCTTGTAATCACAATACATGAGACAACATTCAATGACAAATCAACCTATTGACTGGTAAAATTTCATGGTTTATTCAAAAAGACCAGCAGAAAAAATTAAATTGACAAATTAAAAAAAATTTATTATGAAAAATTATTTTTTTAAAAAATTATTATAATTTTGCATTTGTGAATAAATTAACCAATTTTTCATAAATATTCACAAATCAAAAAAAAAAAAGATATTATTCAATTTTACACTAAAAATTATTCAATAGTTGGTTAATGATGGATCTTTTGATTTTGATGATTTTATTTCATTTAATAAAAGTTGTATTTGATCCATGAATTTATTTTCAATTTTCTTAAGGCCATTCCTAAGTTCACTTTCAATTTCCTTAAGGTCATTCTTAAGTCCACTTTCAATTTCCTTAAGGTCATCCTTAAGTTCACTTTTAATTTCCTTAAGATTATCATCATTCTTAAGATCATTTTCAGGTTTAGGCATATCCACAAGTTTCCTAAGATCATCAGAAATATAAGGTAAATACTCAGGATCTTCTTCACTATTATCTACCTCTCTTATTTTTTTTCGAATATCTTCAACTGGCACATAATAAGTTCTAATAAAAATAAATAAATTAATAAAATAATTATGTTAAAATTAATTGAATAAAAAAAAGATATTTGACAAAAATTAATTATAATTTTTACATGAAATATGGATGCAACTGTTGATGTTTATTAAATAGTAATTCAAAACTTGTTATGACCTAAAATTAATGACAATTCAATATTAATTCATAGAAGAAAAAGTATAATTATACTATTAATAATAAACATACCTTAGCTTTTTGAGTATAAAAGGCTTCTTCTGTGTCATGATTTTGTATTTCATTACTAAGCAAACCAATGAATAAATTCATTAGGTATACCATAATTAAAAATGAAAATAATACAACTAAGATTGCCAGATAGAGATCATTTTGTAATTCCCAAGGTTCAAATGCATTTTTATCACCTATTGAAATATTAATATATATTAATATTAATATAATAATAATATAATAATTTTAATGAGAATATTTCTTAAAAAAATAAGTTACCTGCAAGAAAATTATATATTGCTAACATTGAAAGAGGGAAAGTTGTAAATGGATTTGTATTGCCATCAGGTTGTCGCACAATATATGAAGTATCATTATATGTATATGAATCACCATCAGTATAAATAAATTTATACATGTCAGTAAGTTTCCAAGGATTATTTGAATCATCATTTAATGTGGGCACATCAAGTGAATATTGTTGTCATGGTGTTAACATTATGTAGAATGCATGTGTAAAGCTTACAATAATTATGAATAGAATCACTAAAAATGAAAATACTTTTCTTGCAACACCTAAAATTATTGCAAAGTATGCTCCAAAATAGCTAAAACATCTTAGAAACAACATGAATTTTAAATCCAGTAACAAATTAGTAAGTGAAATGGCCCAAATAGGTGGTGGATTATTGTTAATTAACCAATAAGCTGAAGTGATAACTGGTAACAAATAGGCATTAATATCTAATAAATAGAATCAATAGATTAGTATTTATTTTAATAATAATATTTATCATTATAAAATATCCAAATCACAGCTTACCTAATAAAAACCAAAAATCAACATATAAAAAAAATTTTCCTTTCGTATGCAAAGATTGTATAACTCGTACTATTTCAAGAATAAGATGAATTGCACCAAAAACAATTGTAGTATATAATAATGGTTCAACTCCACCATTATCACTAGCAATTCTGTTGAATTGAAAAGTAGATGCAATAGCAAAACTTAATAAAAATGCCATATAAGATGTCAAAAATCTAATATGATAATTAAATCCAAAGGTATTCCATTTGAAATCTAAGATGACTTGACCATTCTGATGTTTGCATAATTCTAAAATATCTGACTTGTATTTTGGAAATGGAACTAATAGTCTTACACTAGGTTGGGATGCATTATCATGAGACTTATTAATAATAAAAATAAAAGTCAATACAGGTATTAAACTACGAATAAACATTGATAAAGTAAATAAAGGTATATTTATATCAGGATCATCATGAGCATAACTTAAAGGTTGACAAATATTAATAATCATAATAATAATAATTGCAATTCTACAAAATAACATCATTATATGCTGCCAAAAACCTTCCTTTTTTTTTTTTTTATCAATTTCTAGTTGAGGAATCTCAGTAGAAGGAATTTCAGAGATTGTAATAGAATTACAAGATGGATCTAATAACATTGATGTTTGAATGAAAAATTTTGACAATAAATGTTGATATTTTTTTTTTTGTAATTCTGATAAATTTGAAATAATTATTTTTAATAAACTGTGATTTGATGAAGCTTCTTTTTTAAACCAATTGAGACATGAATCAAAGATTTGTTCCACTATAATAATGTCATTATTTCTTAATGCAAATTTTAAAACTTTATCTTCATGTCTGCTAAAGTAATAAAGATCCTCTAACATATATGGTATCATTTCCTCAAATGTTTTTCCCCTAAGTTGTTCTTTATCAATGTATGAATTACCAATATTATTAAAAACTTGTTTAATCTTTTCAATAAGTTCCTTATTATCCATATAAGTAACATATCCTGCATATTTTGTATATATTTTATTTTGTGTATTAAATGATAAAATATAAATGCCTTTGGATCTGGATCTGTCTTTAAATTTTTTTGTTAATAAAATTAAATCGTCATCATACAACAATCCATAATCTTCAAATGTTTCATCATCAATTGTGATTAAATTTTTTCTTGATTTATTGTAAAATTTTGGTATCTTTACTTTAATATTTTTAAATTTCTCATTATATTCTATTAACCATTGTGTGTCTTTTCCTTTTACAAGTATACATTCTGATGTTCCAAATAATCTTGAACTTCTATAGAGAGTTTTTAAAGGCAATGTTAAATTTCTAAGCAAAGATTTTTTTATAATTGTTTTAGGTGATTTTTGTATTTGTTCTCTATATTTTTTTAATTTTTCTAATTTTTCTTCATTAATAAATTCCTTGGTTAATAATTGATCATTAATTATCATAGTTATTTTATTATCTAGTAGAACTCTTCCAAATAGAATATCTTCTGTTGTATTTTCTATAATATTTTCATTAAAATATTTTGTAACATCATTAACATTGTCAAGATTATAAGGATCCATCAATTGACACTGATAATTTTTTGTGTTGTGTTTAGAATAGATTACTAATAAAAATTCTAACTGATCTTTTGTATAAAAATCCAATTTTTTAATGTTAATATTTTCTTCTAGTTTAGCTATTTACAAATTATAAAATGTCTTAGTTATAAAATCATATTATTTTAAGTTAATTAAATTATAAACACTTACATGATGAAATAATAACATTATCTTTTAATGAATAAACTAATAGTTTTGAATCAGATTTATTATATGTCACCATTAACAAGTTATTTTTGTTAAAATAAATGTTATCATATCTAAGTAGTAAGTAATGATTTTTTTTACGCAAAAAAGTTCCATCATTCCATTGTAATTTCCATTCTGAGAGCAATATACCATTGCTAGCAATTAGAAGATTATTATCAGGAGTGGAAAAAAAATCAGGATTATGAATATTATAAAGTTTATGTGTTGTTTTATGAACTACTGGATTGTTTATACTGTTGTTATCATATGTAAATAGATGTAAATTATAACAATCCTTCTCCATTTTGCCCATTATTAGTTTATTATTTCCAAAGAAAAATCCTTGGTCAAAAGTTATATTTATTTTGTGGCTGATCTGAATTTCAAAATAATTTACATTTTTTTTTGAAAAGTCAAGAAGTTCTATAAAAAAAATTTTTATATATTACAATTTATTACATATCAATAAAAATATATTATTAATTAATAATCACTTACTATAATAAGATTTATTTTCAGAATGGTTACATAAAAGTATACATTTATCATCAGATACATCCTCTATAGTTATATCAATAGATTCATCTGAACTTGGATCTTGTTTTTCACCAAAATCAACATCATCATTGTCTACAGTTATACCAATAAATTTGTCTGAATCTTCTAAAAAACCATTTTTAGAATATTTCAAATATTTGTCTTGTTCAATTGTTTTTTCATCAATACCAACTGACCATCCAATGATAGATTTATTTTTTGCACTATGAGTAACAAAGTATTTGGAATTGGAGCTATATTTTATTTGATTAATTTCACACTCATTATCAATAATTAATATTGTTTTAGAGTTCTTGGATGTCTCTGCTTCTATAATGTCAACATCATTATCGTTTTTTCCCATTTATTGGTTAAATGTTTTTAATTATACAACTTATAAATAAATAAACTTTTTTTATATTTATAGTAAAAGATGACGTTACAGAATAAATATGATTTTGGCGTCAAATACAATGACAACAATAATAGTATTTATGGCGCGTCGTAATGGACAAAAGTTCAATTATTAATTAGGTTGATATCTAAATATATTGCTCGTAACTAATTATTAAATGTTATAATAGCTATTAGATGGTTATAAATAATATTAAATAATGGAAGATTATTAAATGGAACTTAGCTAATCATTAAATAGAATTTTACATAGGTTTTGGTTAATTATTTAACCAAGCATTAATTAGATATAACTAATTAACTGGATTTAGTGTTTCCGATCATTAATCCTTTTTCGAATAATCAAATACCCAAAGAGAAGTATGAATATTCAAAGTACATCAGATAATTTTCGGTAATGGATGGAATTTCGAATAACCATAAGTATTTCGAATAAACATAAGTATTTCGAACAGTCATAAATATTAGTTGCCATTTGTCAAGAAAGATTTCAAATTGAATAAATTGAATAATTTATTGCAAGGCGTTACAAGATATTCGAATGGCAATTTCAAAGACATAAATATTCTGAACAGATATATACAAGTATTTCAAATAGTAATAGTTATAAGTATTAGTAGTCGTAAGTATTTCAAATAATCATAAATGTTTCAAGTATTTCGAATAGTCATAAGTATTTCAGATATTTGAATATCGAGTGATAATAATAATAATAATGAATATTCGAATATCACTTTGATCAGAAACCTTTTAATTAATTACTAACTGTTAATTAATTCTTAACTAGATTTTAAACTGAATTAATTTAATTATAACCGGATTTTAATTAATATTAATATTAATAATATTAATTGTTGATCCGTCTATGAAATTCAATGAGTACTGTATGGGTCGAGTATATAAAATTTTTTTTTTGTGCAAACGATTGGATTAAATTTGTTACACAGAAAATATACCTGAAAATTGTTTTTCATTCACCTTTAAAATTTAAATTTTATAGAAAGGTTAAAATTATAAATTAGTAACTCTCTATGGGGTTTCCGTGGCTACAGTGCAAATCGTATATACTCAAAATTATGAAAACCTAAATATCATGGTGATCCACTTGTCAGATTTTAATGAAAATATTACCATTCAACTCAGCTTTAAAAAAGGAATCGATTTATAACAAAAAAAATTTACTCTCATTTGTTAGTCGAAGATCTTTCTTAATTTGGAAAATAATAAATTTAAAAGTTTCAAAAAGATTTATTTAAGATAAAAACAAAAAAGAAATTAGATTAAAATAAAAGAATACTTAAATTTTAATTTCATCATACACAGAATCAGGAACTCTCCTGTGTGATCTATACTTTTTCA